ATGTTTGTGGATTTCTCTATTTCTATTTAGTTGTGTCAAATTTTGTTCATATATAGTAAGGCCATATTACTGGGGATATAAATTTAGAATTATTAAAATTTCCTAGGCAAGTAAAACTTTTATCATTATGATTATGTATCCCTCTTTTTCTCTTACTTTTTTGTTTTAAAGTCTATTTTATCTGATATTAATATGGCCACATTGGTTTCTTTTGATTAGTATGTATGTATTATATCTTTTTCCATTCTTTACTTACAAATTTTTGTATCTCTATTTTTTAAAGTGTTCCTCTTTCAAACAGCATATAATATTTGACTTTTTTTTTGGTGAGGAAGATTGGCCCTGAGCTAACATCTGTGCCAATCTTCCTTGGCTTTTTTGTATGTGAGATGCTGCCACAGCATGGCTTGATGTGTGGTGTGTACTTCCATGCCAGCGATCTGAACCTGTGAACCCTGGGCTGCCAAAGTGGAGCATACGAACTTAAGCACTATACCACCAAGCCAGCCTCAGGATTTTGACTTTTTAAAATCTAGTCTCACAATCTTTGCCTTTTAATTGGAATATTTAGTTTACTTACATTTAGTGTAATTACTGGCATAGTTGGTTATAATCTACCATCTTCATATCTGTTTTTGACTTCTCCCTTCATGCCCTATTTTGAATTAAGTATTTTTATTATTCCTTTTTCTCTATTAACTGGTTAATTATAAAATATTTCACTATGCTTTTAATGGTTACTCTTGATTGTAGATTACAATCTACATCCTTGACTTATCCAAGTTTAATATAAATTAGTACTTTTACCTTTTCCAAGAAAACTCAAGAACCTTAGAATACTTTAAGTCCATCTATACTCATTCTAACCTATTTTTACCATGTATTTGATTCTTTCTGTATTTTAAGCCCTGCAAGATATTAGTGTTATTGTTTTATACAGTCAATATTTGTTTACTTCCCACTTTTTCCTCTCTTTATTTCTGACATTTTTAATATTCTACCTGGGATTATTTTTCTTTTGCCTAAAGGATACACTTTGGTATTTCCTTTTATGTGGGTCCAGAAGTGGTTCTCTTGTTTTTTGTTTGCCTGAAAATGTCCTTATTTTACCAGCATCCTTAAAGATTATTTTTGTTGGGTATAGTTTGGAAAGTTTTTTCCTTTGAAGCACTTTGAAGAAATTATACATTGTTGTTTGACTTCCATTGTTTCTGTTGAAAAGTGATATTTTCTTTTTTGAAGGCACTATTTCTTTTTGAGGGAGCTGCTTTAAAGATTTTTTTTTTGTCTTTCTCTTTTGGCAATTTTACTATGGTTTGCTCAAGTGGGTTTTACTTTGCATTTTTCTTGCTTGAGGTATAGGGCATTTTGGAGCTGTGGTTTGATATCTTTAACCAGTTTGGGAAAAATTCTCAGTATTATTTCTCCATTCCTTCTATTTTCTTCCTTTTAGATTCTGATTACCCTTTCACTATATCCTCTATATATCTTACCCACTTTTTATCCTGTCAGTCATCTGATTTCTTTTTCATTCAGTTGGACTATTTTTGACTTATCTTCCAGTTCATTAATTCTCCCTTTGACTGTGTCTTGAATGCTGTTTACACATATGAAATATTTAATTTTGATTATTTTATTTAAAAATTTTGTAATTCTCCTTGGATTCTCTTTTATAATTTCTGGCTCTCTTCCCAAATTAAAAATCTCATCTTTTGTATCCTTGAACATATTGAGCATATTTTTATTAAAGTTTGTATCTGTTAACTCCATTTTTTAATCTCTGGTAGGTCTATATTTGATTGCTGTTGTTTAGTTTTGTCTTTAGTCATGTTGTCTTGTCATCCCATGTTCCTTGCTATTTTGGTTGAGGTCAAAGATTATGAAGAACTAGAGATAATTTGTAGCTCTGGATGTTATCTTCCTCTCAGGGAAAATTTATATTTACATTTATGTAGGCTAGGTACATCAGCAATCTCGGATCTTCCTAATCTAATTAGCATTTGAAATGAAAGGAAGTTGAGTTTCTACTCTGTGGGTGCTATCTGCTTTCAGTTTACCCTCACTCATAGTGGGCAGGTCCTCAAGGATCTCAACGCTTTGCCTGGGAGGTGAGAGGGATTTATCAGCCACTACCACCTTCCCAATGGGCTCTGAATTCCAGTTTTTGTCTTCCTAGCCTTGTGAATCTGTTAAAACCTCAGTTTCTTAGCGTCTCAGCTGCTTCTATGGAATATTGGCAAAGCTCTCTGGTAGAAAAGTGGCTCCAAATCGCAGGATCATTTCTTGAGTTTCTGTATTTTTCTGACCATGGCTATGTAATTCTTCACTGTCTTATTATCTCTCTGTGCCTTCAGGCATTTAAAAAATATTTGTTCAACTTTTCAAGTCATTCTCAGTAACAGGTTTGGTCTAAATCACCCAGTCTACATTAATGAAAGCAGAACCCTTTTTTAATTTGCCTTCAATACCCAAAGGACTGTGTTCTTGCTTCTCAAGAATTTCTGGAGGAAAGACAAGTGAATGCTTTCAATTAAGACGAGATTATTAATTTAAACTTGCTTGAGTTTGAATAAGAAGATATGCCTGTCTGTAAAATAATGAATTTTCATGGTTGAACCTTTTTACGTGCCTAGTTCCCTTTCAGATTTGTGCCAATCATAGGCAAAGTAACCCAAAATTCCTTTCCCTAGTTCTTTTTAACACATCTGAGGTAGGATGTTAAATGAAACAGGGTTTATGAATTGAGTGAGCTGGCATCAGGAAACTATGCTTTGTAAGTTTAAATCTTAAGTGTCTTGTACTTTTTCATCTCATTTGGAAATTAACTCTAACTTCTCTGTTATGGGGACAAATGAGTTGGATTTTGATTTTATACACATTTGAGTCAGAATATTAAAGAGAAAAGTGTTGGAGTGTGGACAACAAGGTGAAATTGAAGTAAAAGACTTTCAGCAGAGATAGATGAAACTGAAAATGAAGTATACAGGCTTCCTAGTTATCTACCACTCCTCACCCAGAAATTTTCCTTCCAGAGCTTGTTTTGCTCCATCATTGTAAAGGTTTGTCATTTTCATGCAATTTTTCTCATTTAGTAGACAGAGGTCACTGTGGATTATAAGATTATTACTTATCATCTGTATCATATAACTAGATCATCAGCACTTATTAGTTGTATTATCTTAGCTACTGTGGGGACCTGGAATTGGCCACCCCAAGATATGTCTCTTTGGCACCAGGATTATTTGAGGCTGATTGCTTTTGATAAACTGGGACAGGGAAGGATGCTCTGAGGAATGGAACTTGCCCTTCCTTAGGACACGTTTACATTTGTAAGGTAAATCTCTATCTGTAAAAGGTGCCTCCCTCTCTGTACCAGGAAGAAGAGAGGCGATGACCTTCTCTCTAGAAACTCTTCATCAATACCAGAGGCAAGGACTTAAATCTGCATTTTATTGTGCTTGTCTGGTAACCTCCTGTAACTGACTTCCCTTCCCCTCCCAACGTTGGCATTTTTTAAGGATTAAGCATCTTTCCTTAGGCTAGGAACTGATTGCTGCGCTCACCTGTGACTGCCCAGCTCCAGACAATTGACTTGCCTCCTGCTACACCCGCAGAGATAGCAGACCCACTGCCTGCTGTGTCCATCAAGCACTCTGCTGACAGGGCAATCTTGTGACTATTGTGGGAGGGACATTTCAATCACATGTGAAACACCCTTTTTGGGGGTATATAACCACTATGTGCACCCCACTTCTTTGGTGCCCTTTCTTCCCAAAGGAAGAAAGGCCCCAGGCCATGGTTCCTCATAAAGCTTTGTTTAATTTTCTCTTGCTATTCTGTCTCATGTGAATTTAATTCGTTCTCGGGCCAGATGAACCCCCATTTGGGAAGAGGAAATGTCTTCCTCCCCTACACTACTCATTGTACCACCTAAGCAAAGGAAATTGACCTGAATTTATTCTTCCTGCTTTGCTGAACCTGGAACACTTAGGGTTTGATTTTTTTTTTTTAACTAGGGGAACAGAGTAGAATTTATGTAGAAAGAATCAATTCTCCATAGATATGTGAGCAAGCCAGAAGTCAATTTTTTTTTCACATACATAACTAGACTGACAAATGATGGATAAATGGCAAGGAAGTAAAGTGAAATTTTCGAAGTGGACTCCAATGGAAGAATTTTAATGTCACAGCTTATCACAACATGGGTATGTCAACTATGTTATTTGGACAAATATAGTTGGAAAAACAAGATGATTTCTTATTTTATGAGGCAGAAAATGCACTCAGCATTTTTTTTTCATTTAGTCATATCTGTGGTCTCTTCTAGAAAGTGTTTCTGTATTTAGTGATGCGTGTATATGCATGCAGACTTACACATTATTTCTGATTGGACTGGTTACTTATGACTTTTCATATGTGGGTTATTATCATTTTGTAGTTTATACATGCACATTATATTGAATATTTCTTTAGTGTCAATGAGAAAAATATATCACTGGTATGAGAAAACAGTGGCATTACAAGGTATTCATCTGGAATTATTCAACCTTTCACAAGCAAATGAGAAAGATTATAGGATTAGACCAAATCCTGGATTCTTTTTCCTCTGTGCCCATCTGTATTCATTACAGTTGAAAGATAGACAAATGAAACTATTGGCAGCTCAGTCTTTAAAGCTTTATTACAATTTAAAAGCATTAAAAAAGAGAGAAAATGGAAAAATCTTATCAAAGGCTGAAAATGATCATCATATTGAATAGTTGAATTTTCCAGCTTAATGACAGTGAAGAATGAAGATAGGTATTGTAAAGATATGACTTCATTATTAGTATCACTCAGTATTCTCAATTTCAAAGAATTGAGCATAGAGCTTTTAAGGGCCTCTGTCAGAATATAGAACTGACAATTGGGCACATCACTGGAAGAAATGAAATGGGTCAGTGATTTTCAATTCTATATAAACTGCATAAGGCAAGCCCACAGCATTGGTTAAAACTTACACCAGGATCCAAGACTCCTCTCCACTGTTGCTTTGGTTGTTGTTAGGCTTCTTGGACCCCAGGAATGTGAACCAAGAAAAGGGAAATGCTGGAGAGCACAAAGGTACCACATGAAATACAAAGGATATTGTTAGTTTTCTCCCAGTATCTGTTCTTCTCCCCTTTCCCTCAAGCACCTACCTTTTAATCCAGGAATCCAGTTTTGCCATTACAGCTTATGGACCCAGGGGAAGCTGAGCCCATCCCTAGGTTCAGGGAGTTCCTGATTGGTGTAAGGGCAGTTCTGTTCCTACCACCACAGTGATTGAATCTGGAATATACGTATGTCACAATAGCTTACTGGGGACCTTGAGTAGAGCATTTTCTTGAGCTTTAAGGGTGAGCCACCAGGTACCAGGATGCCTCTCTTCCTCTGGACATGTTTATGATGTTAGTCCTGAAACTACTGCAGCCAACTTGAAGCAGACACATAGAAAGAGAATTGAAGAGAAATGAGCAAGAACCCTGATCAAATCATATCTGATCACTGCTTATTAGGAGCTAATAAATTTCCTTAATTGTTGATGCAAATTTAAGTAGGCTGTTTCTGGCAGCCAAGATTATCCCTGCTGATATAGGCGGTCCACTTCAAGCCCAAGTGGTTCCTAATTCAGAGGACCACCCACAGGGGCTGTTTCAGAGATCCCTTGGCCAATTTGATCTAATGGGAGGGTCACAGAGATGCTCACTTCTGGTCCAGACCTATTTTTAAATTTTGCCTTTTGTAGTCATGCTCTTCAAACTTCTCTGGTTTGTAGGCCTAGAGCACTCCTCCAAAGGCCATCCTGCTGGAATGGATTCTCTGGCTGCAGTCTGATCTAGATCCCCACCCTTAGGTCCAGAAGTGCCTGCCATGGTCACCTCCAGGCTATGGGAAGCAGATCAAAAGCTCTGGTAGTCTATCATCTCCAACATAGTGTCTAATGAGAGGACCTGTCTGTGGGAGATGACTTCTCACTCCTAGACTCACTCCCGGCTTCTCTAATTTCCCATGCAACTTTTGTTTTCACAATAATTTTGGTCCAGGCACACTATCAGTTTTGGGAAGGCCTGTTGAGCCCTTATCAGCTTAAAGTGGAAGCTATTGTGATAGAAGCAATTTGGCAGTGGGAAGGCTTTGTCAGGTGCGATAGTAAAACTGGCATCTTAAATGATCTCTAACTAAGCCCAGTAAGAATAGCTGGATTGCATTCCAAGAGTCAAATATCTATCTTGGGGCCACTATATAATACAGATAGATTTTTACAGTGAGGCGTCTGTGATGTGCATGGTGTATAATATTGTGAGCCTGCAATCAGTTTGTAAGTTTTGCACTTTTGTTTAAATAGAACTGTCAAGTCTAGTGTTTTTCACACTTGGTTGGGAATTGGGATGGGAGTGAGGGGCAGAGCACTTGGAAGTCATGGTACTTTAGATCCAAAACCTTAAAGCAATGCTATATTTAATACCATTCTAAACAGTAGGCAAATTTTGGAGGCAGAAAAATCTGACTCTATTATATTTATAACCCCAGTGATGCTGGACCTTTTCATTCTTACCTTAGAGCTTATCCCTGTTTTTTGTTCCCGCCACAGAAACACCTGTCTAACATCTAAAAATAATTGCAAAACAGTTAAACTTTTTACAGTAATCTCTCGGACAGTGTGAACTGGAGATGACATTCATACCATACTGCAAAACTTTTAAAGTCTTTTACCCATTTATCTTCCCAAAGTTTCACTGGTATGGTAAGGTAGGTGACTCTGAGCTTTCTTATTCTCCTAGAATTCTTCAGAACTTCAAAAATAGTCCTTGCTGGCTTTATCTTTTTGTCCCTACTCTCTTATCTCCTGGTATATTTTCTTCTAGAGTAAATTTGGCCCTTTCCTATGAAAATCAATCAAACCAATCTAGGATTCTCTTATATCTCCCTTCACTCATTGGATGCGCACAGAGAGGCCCAGGGATTGTGTATGTGAGGAAAGAATTCTCCTTTGCAACACTTTTAAAGTTTATTTATTTATTATTTTTATTTTTTAGCATCAGTTTTAATCTTGCCAATGTCTACCTGTCCAACATCATTTTCCATTACAGCCCTACATACATGGCACCCTTCTGCCACCAAAGGATTTTAAGCAGAAAAGTGGCATTATCATACTTGCATTTTAGAAAGACCATTCTGATTGCTGTTTGGAGAATGGATTGGGGTTTTGTTGGGGTAGAGAGGGGGAGAGGTAGTAGGGAAATAAATCCAGAAACCATAGGATCATCTAGGAAAGAGATGTTGGTAATTTGGACTAGGGAGTTGGCAAAAGGAGATAGAAATAAGTTGAAAGATTTGAGATATATTTTGGTAATTTCTAGCTGGGGAAGAAATGAGATTGCTATTCAGAGTAGAGGACATAGATCTAGTTTATAAGGTAAAATATTGAGATTGGCTTCAGATATGTTGAGTTTGAGGACCTACGGGATATCTACTTGAAGTATTCATTTGGCATGGGACTTAGGTAAGGCTGGGGGTCAGAGCTGGAGATAAGGATTTGGGGGTCGTCGGCTTATAGATGGTTCTTGTGCCCATGAGTATTGGTAAGTGTATCCCAGGAAGGCATACGCACTGAGGGCTTTAGAGTACTAACAGCAGAACCCCAGGGATGCTGTTGTCTTAGAGGTGAGCAAAGGAGAATTGGGAGAAAACCAGGAAAAAAATGGGACAGAATCAGAGAAGTATTGTTTTAGACCAAGGAAAGTGGAGTCCTAGTGATTGACTTTTTGATCAGGCCACAGTAACCAACAGTGCATCAGCAGACTATAGTGCTTGATTCTGAGTGCCAGCCTTTGACAAGGACACTGATAAACACAGTGTGTCAGGAAGAAGGCCATCAGGATGATGAGAAATATTGAAACCATGTCAAAGCAGAGTGGCAAATGCGTTCATATAGAGAAGATATTTATGGGGAACGTATTTGCCATGAGGAAGAGGAATTTAGCTTTTTTAATGGTTCCAGAAGGAATACTGAGGAAGTACAAAGAAATACATTTCAGTCAATATGAAGAATTATTTTACAAGTTGTTAAAAAATGGAATAGGTTAACTTGTTTGAAGTGAGAATCCATCTAGTGAAGTGTTTGAGCAGGAGCTGGGTGACCCACCAATCAGGGATGATGGAGCAGGGATTCTTGTTCTGAGAAAGAGCTTCGCCTATTGAGGTAGCTTCTAATTTTAGAAGCCAGTGGTTCTGTGAAATTGTCTTTCTCTCTGTATATGCATGTTTAATGCATATATTGCAGGTCACTATACATAGCGGTCAGTGTGTCATGCAGTAAGCTTTGGGTGACTGTAAGGAATGACATTTTATTCCTTGGATGCTCTAAGTGAAAGTGACATGAATCCCCACCACGGTCATATCTGCACTCGTGAAATTTTGTTGAGAATTCCTCTGAGAGAGACCGTCTCAGTATTGAGTCAGTTTTGTGGCCTTGAGCTGAGACAGTTGACGAGACATCTTATAATAAGAATAAGAGGGCAAGATGCCCTGAGGGCTTCACATACATTTATATCAAAATACTGTGAAGGAAAATCAATGTTTTGCTTCTAGCAGTGAAAATCCAAACCTCACCAAATTACTAGGGATGAACACTTTATTTTCAAATGCCAGAGGAGGGAAAAACCCTGCTAAGCTGAACAAATGCTTCACTATGTCTCTGAATGTAATACGGTGTGGTAGGCTTGGCGGTGACCCTGTTTTGGAACTCCAATGACCTCATTCCTCCTTCCATTCAAGTTTTTTTTTCAAAATCACTTCAGCGGAGCCTTTCCTGATCACTCAATCTAAAATTTCACCCTACCCAATACTTCATTTACTCTTTTTCTACATCTTGTTTTCCTTTAGTGTTTACCATTGTCTTGCTCAGAAGCAGGATCTTAGACAAAGTGCAAGTTGTTTATATGGGAGGTGATCCCAGGAAGGCCAGTAGGATGTGGGAGAAGGAGATGGGGAAGTGAAGGAAGCCAAGTCAGAGTGTGGCAATTAGCAGGTTACTGCTGTGGGCAACTGGGACTCAGTCCTGCTGGGGACCTCTGGGAGACTGCACGGACATGCCTTGGAGTAGGTCTGAGGCATGAGGAAGTTAGGGTGTTTATCCACTATCTCTCATCAGTCCATGGTTGAGAGCTGCCCTGGGTGGGGTTGGCACTTTAACTTTCCGGCACTTCCCATCTCTGTGTCTGTGCAAGCGTCCTCCAGATGCCAGAGAAAAAGCCCTCTGCTTTGCATAGGCTCATGATAGGAGCCCTGGGGTCAGGGTGGATGGGAAAGGAGCCTAGGGAATCTAGGAAGGGAAGTGATAGCATCTGCCGAAGAACTTGTTACTCTCGACTGTACTGTATATTTTACATGTTTATCTTTATTGTCTGTCTCCTGCTGTAACATAAGCCTCATGAAGACAAGGACTTTTCTCTGTTTTGTTCACTGAGTAGTACTAGAAACATTGTCTCCGAGTTATTCAATGTTTAACAAGTACTAATTAGTGCCTTCCCGGGCCAGGTACTGCTCTCACCTGCTTTGATGCTACTACAAGCTCCAAAGGGCCGGGGAGATCACTATCTTTATGTCTAATCCTTAGCCTATACTGAATCAAGAGTAAGAATTACAAGGGAAAGGTGATAATTACACCAACATTTTTGTTGTAATGCATATTTTTGGTAACTAAATAAATAACCCTGACAGCATGAACTGGTAGATCAGAGAAGGATGAATGGGAAGGGGAAGAGAAAATGCAAACAAGAGATTAGAATGCATACTCTGACCCCAGCTTCCACAGAGAGCCTCCTTGCAAACTGGATGTGGACACATGAAACCCTAAATCTAGAGCCTACCTCTGGCTGACAGTTGGGTTCAGATCTCAGGAGGAAGTTGTAACCTTAGAATCATAAGCAAGGAAGATGCTTTTGCTTTGGACTCCATGCTTCAGTTAACGCAGACTTAGATCTGCCAAATGGCACAGATGACTCGTTGAGTATATGTCAACAACTATTCCAGAGTGTTTTTAAACATGTAGGACTGTTAAATTATATCACACCTGCTCTGAACTTTTTTCTTGCCACTCTAAACCTTAGGTTTAGGATATTTATCTCAAAATATTTGGCCCATCTTTGCAGCCCATCATTGGCTTTCTCTGAATCTCAGTTTTATTCCTTCCAGCTTCATGTTATTTCTAAATTTAACAAGCCAGTGTTTAGCTCTCAATTGTCTGCTCTGTCCTTTGACTCTCCTCCATGGAATGCTCACTCCCATTCATTTCCTGCCTTTCCAAAACACAATAGATGTGATGATTATTCTTGAAAACTCTGAGACCTAGTGTATTTTAAAATTTCAAACAATAAGGAAATAGAAGTGGATTTTGATTGTACATTATTTGTATGTAGCCACCCCTCTTTCCCTTATATTAGTGGTGTTCGTTCAGCGTTGACTAGACTGAGAACCTTTTCAAGTTACATTTCCACAATTTCTAACTTTGAATTTTTTCTCTGTGGTCAAATCTGCAGGCAGCCAAAGGTATAGATACACAGCCCATTGCTGCAATTATTCTTGTTAACACTTTTTAGTGTAGTTTCTAAGTGGAGACTTTTCTGTACCTAACATTGGAATATGTACCATTTAAAAATCATTCATGGAGACCTCTAGAGTATATCCCCAAAGTTGGGGAGGAAATTTATTTCTAAATGCAAATCCAAAAATTTTTTAAGTATAACTGCAGGGAGGAAAATTTAGAGACCTTTGTTTTACGCAGGCACATCTGGCTTGGAATTAAAACCTCAAGAAGAGGTAACTTAGGGACTTTTGGTAAATTAGGTCATTATCATCAAAATAACATTTCTGAATATTAGTTATCGTGTGGTATTAAGCTGGGCATTGCACAAAAGCAAAGTGATCATATCCAAATGCCTGTAGGATAATTAAACCTGGTTGGGTTGTCCTGTACCCCAATTCATCAAGGTTTACTAAGAGTGCCTATTAGTAGAAGAATTAGTATTTCTGTCCCAGAGACGGTATAGACCACAGCAAATCAGCCAGATCTTTAGGTCATGTGTGGGTCCACCAAAGCCACCTAGGTCTTGCCTGAGACTGTGGCTTTTCCATCCCCAGAAGTAGCAAATAACAGTGGCAAAAACAAGCAAATGGGCAACCCATGTGGTTGTATAAACACTAAAAAATAAATTAGATAAATGGAGAAAAAGGCTTTACATTATGTTAAAAAATTAGGGACAATGAAATGTACATTTTTATCTACGAGCTCCCTTGGTATTCCATAAAGGTTTTCTCTCAAGTAAAACAATGAGGTTGCTGGTGTGATAAATTAGCAGATACCTCCTTTGGCGTGAAGTATTCCTGTGTTGCAAATCACTGATTTTATTAGATAGCAGCTCTAGGAGCAGTCTAATGCTGCCTCATGAAAAATCCATAACAATTCAATCTAATTTTAATGATTCTGGAAAATAATAGTACATATTTGAGAACAGCTCACTTGCTCATATTGCCACTGTCTAGTCATGTCTGTTAAAGTGAATGTGATTCATGGACTTTTGTGGCTATTTTTTTTTTAAACAATGTGTGAACCCAACTCAATTTATCTTTACCTGCCAAATTCAGACATCATCTCTCTTCTCAGCTTATTTCTTGCATCTTGCGTATGTTTACAGCTTATTTACTTATTCATTTGGTTTCTAAGCTCATTGGAGGAAGATCAAAACTAATTCAGTTGAACATTTAAACCCACTACGACACTTGTTCATGGAAAAAAATGCACATAATGGCTTACATTTTTGTTTTAAAGAATAACTGAAAATAACTGTACCTAAGATTCTCTTTAGACATATAATTAGAGAACAGGAGTTTGTAAGATAAACGAAAAACTGATGAAAGCCAATAATCTCGGAGTAGACTGTAACTGTCCTATTTGCCTTCTAGTTTCATTTGTTTACTTATGTGTAAATCTTTATTCATGTGACAGCTTCATTGTGTGAAAATCATGCTATTTCTTGTCAGCTCAAACCCTCTGGGAATACACAAGATCTTGATGTGTACTCTCAGATAGGTCACTATGCTTTTTCTTTGAATATAGTTAGAATAATTCATCTTCCACAGTCCCCATATTGGAAAAGAACAGGACATTACTGAATTTTTGTATGTTCTGATTCTCGTGTGTTAGCACTGCTGTCTATCTATCAGTTAGACCCTATACATCCTTCAGATATCTCAAAGAAGGGAATATGTTACTTCTCGAGTCCCACAGTTGTTTAAATTCCTTTTCTGGATATATACATATAGTCGGAAGAATATGTTCTTTGCTTGATTTTTCCTGTTAGGATCATCATTTACCAGCAGCAAATATTTAGTTTGCTAATAAAATATTAGTTAGTCTGTACCTATGATTCTATTACTATTTTCTGGTACATATGCTTTTAGTGTGATGTATTTTTATTGGTGTACAATTTCAGCAATATAAAAACTGTTGATATTATTCTTTTGTTTTATTACATTTTAGTGGTTTTACCATCATTTGTCGTCTGCTGCTATTAAGAAATCTATCCTTAATAGATACACAATACTTCGAAAATAAATAGTAACAAGAATTTCCAAAGAGAAAATCAGAATATTGAAATAATGATAGAAGTCTCTCCAATTCCATTAGTTTCTCTAGTGGGACTTGGAATAGACTAGTCTGGAGAGATACAGATGGGAACGAATGTGAAGTTTATTTGTCGACTTTGGTATGTGGATGTGCACGCTTACATAGGACCGTTTCCCCAACTCACCATTCTTGGAGGTTAGGGAGGTCAAATTCTACTATCTGACCTATTACATAATTAGTACTTCTGAAAACATTGATGACCGTCCCTAGAGATGCTTGCCTTTCATGGGTCAGAATCCGTCTATTTTTCTAGTCCTTCGTTCCAGAAATTTAAAGCTAAATTTATTTGCCTCATCCTACTGTCCCTCAGATGAATAAAGGATTGTTAACATAACAAAAAGAGAGAAAGCATAGCCCAGATAGCCTATTTATCTGGAAAACTACTGATTTGGACAATACCATATAAAAGTCTATTTTCAAAAACCCAAAGGAGAAGGAAGTAACTTAACATAAATTTTGGCTGATTCTTCTTCTTCTTCTTTTTTTTTTTTGAGGAAGATTAGCTCTGAGCTTACTACTGCCAATCCTCCTCTTTTTGCTGAGGAAGACTGGCCCTGAGCTAACATCCATGCCCATCTTCCTCTACTTTATGAGTGGGACGCCTACCAGAGCATGGCTTTTGCCAAGCGGTGCCATGTCCGGACCCGGGATCCAAACTGGCGAACTCTGGGCTGCCGAGAAGCAGAATGTGTGAACTTGCTGTGCCACCAGCTGGCCCCAATGCCTGATTATTTTTGTGGCAGGTGGAATTGTCAATGAGCCATTCATAAATTTTCCAGCAGAATTACAGTATTTTGTTTTTAAATGGATTTTGTTTTTTTAAGTATGAAAATATCTTACTGCAGCATTTTTTTTTCCTCCAGAAATATCTGCTAGAGAGTAGGCTGTGGAAGAGTTGACCCTTTATCTTCTCCAGCCTATATCAGTATTGGTACTGGTATCTTCAACATATAGGTTCTGTCTCTCCAATTCCTACGTCGATCCTTGATCCATCCTGTATATGGTGGGCTTTATAATGGTAGACTTAGACTCATGAGCTAGTGGGTATAGAATTACTGGTAGAGTGGTAGATTCTGAATCCAGGATGCTTGGAGTAATACTTGAGTTGTCAGGCAGAGTTGTACTTTGGGAGGATGCATGCTTTAATGTAGATACAGTGCCTTACCAAGATGATTCTTTCTTTTACATGATGACTCATCCTAATACTAGCATATTGCCCTCTTCTTGACCACTTTTCCAAATGCTCTCACTTGGCCTTCCAACTCCACTTCCAAGAGACCTAAGTTGCCTGTATATAAAAATAAGACAGAAGAAATCCAGTTGTCCCAAAGTAGTAAAGAACATCTCTAGAGGATGTGGGGAGCTTTTCCAGGTTTTTCCTAACTCATTTCCACTCTCTCTGAATTCTTGTAGTCTTTCTTATACCTGTGATGGTTCCTAAACAATGGGGAGACTGACTGACGAGACAATTTGCACCTTATACTCACCATCTCTTTTCTTAACTTTTCCTCGGCTTCTGAAGTTTTCTACAATATCAGAGTAATGAATCTATGATGCTGTTCATGGTTGGTGCTGGGTATGAGAAGACATTTAATACTGTTCCCAGGGGATATATAAAACCACAAGATAAATTTGGTATAGTTCCCCAAAGGTCAAGCTATTATTTCTTAAAGTTCTGCAATTTAGGTTGGGCTCAGTGGGGTGGTTCTGCTGCTCCATCTGGTGACTGCTGGAGCTGGAGTATTTAAGATTGCTTCTTTACTCACATGTCTGGTGCCTCAGTTGTAAGAGCTCAAGAGACAGTGGGTAGCCAGGCATCTCTCTCTCTCTCTCTCTTTCCACACGGTTTCTCCATTAGGGTAGCTAGACCTTTTCACATGCTGGCTCGGAACACTAAGAGAGAGCATAACAAGAGGACAAGCCCCATTGTGAAATCACCTATCAAGCTTCTGCTTGCATCATATAGTTGCTAATGTCGCATTGGCCAAAGTAAGTCACATAGCCCAGCCCAGAGTCAATGTGGAAAGGGCTTGTAGCCTGAAGGTGTGATTCATTGGGCGTTGCCAACCTAACATTCTACCACATAGAGTAATATGCCAAATTTATATGAATTTTAAAGATGAAACCTGTAATTCCAAGATAACTTTGCCTTTGTGGTGGACCAGGACTCATCTACTCTGGATAATGCATTTACTTTTTTCTGCTGCTAAGAGCTGACCCAAGCCAGTTTTGTGTGCACAACTATTAGGTACTTTTTGGTATATCTTGGGAGTAGTTAATGGCTGGCGGTAATGCAGGTTAATTACTTTCTCATAACCTTGTATCAGATTATTAGGAAAGCAAGTCTCAGACCAAATTCTGCTACTCATATAGACATTTCTGCAAGCAGGCACAAAACAATCCTAAGCTATTTCTGCAAACATCATTTAGAGATCTCACCTAGGGCTCCATTCCCAAGGATATAGATTCCAGGGCTCACTAGAGTCTTACATCCTGTTTTTGTAAGCATGGAGAGTGTCTATAAAATATTATAGCCAATTCACATTTCTCTACTGCTACTAATTTCCCAAATAAGAGCCTCATTTTTATCAATTAACGAGCCACTAATTTCACCAGTGAAAACCCACATCTGACTTGATGCTCATTATGAAAGCTCCGGCATTGAAGGGAGAAAATAATGACTGAAGCCCTTTTAGTCATTACCTCTAGTGTATGACTTTTCTAATAAAGTTTAGCTAATAGCCCAGGAGTGTGACTGTAACTGGCACACACTGTCTATACTAAAGAATATGAAAATAAAGTATAGATACCATAACATGTACTTTAAAGGATGCTTTGGTGGAAAAATTTGAGACGCTTTCACCAGAGTATTGTAGGAAATTAGGACCTTGGGATTAAGTTTTGTGGATTCACTGCTGCTGGAAACAGCAACATCCCAGTTCTCAGGTAACTGTTTCTGAAACTAATCTAAGTTTCATGTACATAGGAAAAGTCCATAATTAAAAATTTTATTGAAATATTTATTTTGTATTTTTATTTATTATCTAATTTCGAACATACACAAAAGTAGAAGCTCTACCCATCACTCAGCTTCAGTGATTATCAGTTATGACCAGTCATCTCTGCCCCCTCCTCTGCTTCCTTCCCAGCTGCATTATTTTAAAGTAAATCTCACATATCATGTCATTTCATCTGTAAATACTTCAGTGTATATTTCTACCAACAGATGAGGAGTTTTCTATTAGCATGTGCACAATACTATTAATATACCTAAAAAATGAACAGTTCCTCAATATCCAGTCAGTGGTCAAATTTCTATGAATCATAAATATCTATTTATAATTGGTTTGTTTGATTCAGGATTCAAACAAGGTCCACCGATTACATTTGGTGGATATGCACCTTGGGTCCTATCCTTCTTGTGGTAGACCCAGAACAGGGTTTCTCAATTCAGCACTATTAACAGTTTGGACTGGGTGATTATTTGCTAGGGGGACTGAATGTCATTGTAGGATATTTAGCAGCATCCCTGGCCTCTACCTAGTAGATGCCAATAGCACCAGCCCCCAGTGTGAAAACCAAAAATGTGTCTAAACATTGTCTACTGTCTCCTAGGGGCAAAATTGCCCCAGTTGAGAACCACTGATCTGGCATTCACATTTAATTTTTTGGCAAAAATATTTCACAGTTGATATTGTATATTTCTTATTGCATTACATCACAAAGCACAAAATCATTGGTTATCTTTCTTTTTGATTAGTGGGTCCAAGTGTTGTCTCCCTGATTCGTCCACGTGAAACTTTCTCATTTGTCTTTCACCCAAGGATTTTAATAGCTATTGCTGATCATTGCTTGTATCCATTGTTGTATTAGGGATTATAAAGTGGGGATTTTATAATTTTATCACTCTTTCTACATTTGTTAGCTGAGATTCTTCTGTAAAGAAGAATGTTTCCTCATCAATTATTTGACTATACTTAAGTAGGGAAACACTGTGTTCTTCTACTCACAATACTCTGACACCAAATGTGTAAGTTTTCCACCAAGCACTTGTCCATCCATTGGCTGAGGGTTCAGTCTCACAGGACTGCTCCCCACTTCAAATGGCAAGTCCCAGGTTGTCACCTGTACTTCTGACCAACTGACTATAAATTAAGGGTTCCCATGACCCCAACCTTGGGTTCAGTAATTTGCTAGAATGGCTCACAGAACTCAGGGAAACACTTTACTTACTAGATCACCAGTGTATTATAAAGGATACAACTCAGGAACAGCCAAATGGAAGAGGTACATATGGCAAGGTATGGGGAAAGGGCACAGAGCCTCCATATACTCTCTGGGCTTGCCACCCTCCCAGCACGTCAATGTGTTCTCCAACCAGGGAGCTCTCCAAACCTAGTGTTTAGGATTTTTATGGAGGTTCCATTATATAGGTATGATTGATTAAATTGTCAGCCATTCATGATTGAACTCAACACCAGCCCATCTGCCCTTGGAAGTTGAAGTTTGGGGTTGAGAGTTCCAGCCCTCTAATCACATGATTGATTCCTTCGCAGCACCCATCCTCCAAGAGTCACCTCACTAGCATAAACTCAGGTATGGTTAAAAGGGGCTTCTTATGAATAACAAAAGATGTTCCTCTCACTTCTATCACTGAGGAAATCATAAGGGTTTCAGATGCCCTGTGCCAGAAACTGGGGATGTCACAACATCACAGTTTGCCTACTGGTCTTTGAACACAGATCCCTTACAGTAAAATGATCATAAAAGCCAAAAGATACTGGCACATTACTAGAATCCATTCACTCATTAATAATTATCCAATCCATCTTCATATCGTTTGAAAATGCCTTCCAGGGAGAGGCCACTCAGGTTTGCAGGCTTTTATTCAATCTTGTCGGGTTCCAAAAGCAGGAGTGGTCTCGGCAATATATGTTCTTCATTTGCTTTTTTCTTTAACAATATATCCTGGAGTGTACTCTATAGCAGAGTTTATCAATAGCAGAACTATGGGCAAGATAATTCTTTGGTGTGGGGGACTGTCCTGTGTACTCTAGGATGTTTAGTAGCATCCCTGGCCTCTACCCACCAGATGCTGGTAACACCTCTATCTGCCATGAGACAATCAAAAATGTCTCCAGACATTGCCACATATCCCCTGGGAGGCAAAATCATGCTTAGCTGAGAATAGTGCTTTATAACGATATTGAGAGCTTTCTCATTTCTTTCATACTCCATTTTGTGAATGTACCATAGTTTATTCAAGCAGTTCCTTATGGCTGGACATTTAGGTTGTTTCTAGTCTTTCGCGCTTACAGAAAGTGCTACAGTGATGGGGTTATGCCTACACCATTTTATGGTTTTGCTAGTGTAGTTTTGGTAGGATTCCTAGAAGTGGGATTGCTGGGTCAATGGGTAAATGTATATGTAATCTGTCTAGATGTTGCCCAAACTCCCCTCCTTGAGGATTGTACTATTTTTAATTTCCTAGAGCAAGGTATAAGAGTGCATATTTCCCCATAGCTTCACCAAAGAGCATGTTAAATATTCAGAATTTTGTCCATATGTTTAAGAAGCACTTGCTTTTCTTTTTCTGTGAATGATATAACTTGCCCATTTTTCTAGTATTTCCATCCTCAAGAATCATTAACATCTCTCTCTATATGAGAGATATTGACTCTTTATGAGTGATATCAGTTGCAAATCTCTCTTCCTCAGTTTGTGTTTTTTTTCATTTTGCTTATGTTATGTTTTTCATGCAAAAGTTTCTGTTTTTATATGGTTAAATTTATCCCTTTTCCTTTATTGCTTCTGGATTTTAAGTCAAAGAAAAGCTTTCCCATTTCCAGGTTATACAAGAATGACCCATATTTTCTCCTAATACTTATATAAGTATGTATGTGTGTATATGTGTATTTGACTTTTAGATCCATTTGGAATTTATTCTCATGTATGGTGTGAGGAATGGTTTCAGTTTTGTACTTTTCTATATAACTAACCAGCTGTCCATGAGATAGTCCATTTCTTCCCTACCTGTTTGTGATTCTGCCTTTATAACATCCTAAACTTCCATATTTAGTTGGGTGTATTTCAGGATTTTCACGTCTTTTTCTATTGGTCTATTAATTCATGGGCCCCTGAAGGCTTTATACTGTGTTCGAATGTCTGATACAGCTGTCCTCCCTGCCCTATTGCCATTGGGTTTTTTTGTTTTTTTTTTTAGTGTTTGGATATTCTTGCTTGTTTGCTCTTTCAAACAAAATATATAATCAGCTATCTAGTGCTGGGGAAAAGTATTTTTATTGGGAGTATGTTAAATTCACAAAGTCACGTAGGGAGAACTGACATTTTCATGATGCTGAGTTTTCCTTTCCAAAAACATGATGTGTCTTTCCATTTGTGCAAGCCCACTTCTGTGTCTTTCAGGAGGTTTCACAGTCTATAAACATTTTGACCATCATAAAATGTAAAGAGTAAGGCTGTCCTTCTCCCATTCCACATACAACTTCCAGGGTACAAACGTGCTTTGAGCCTCATCTTCTTATTTTTGTAACCATGATTATTTAAACCTGATTCTACCATCTTGTCATTTGGGAGGGGGCAAGAAGAGTTGCATGTAGAGTGGTAAGAGTTTGAACTTTGGCATTAGACTGTCTTTGGTTTGAATTTGGCTCTATCATATATCTGCTCTGTGACCATGGGCAAGTCTTCTTGGCAAAATAGAGATTTTTACCTTTCATGGTAATAAGGATGGAAAAAAGATAGCATATGTAAAGCAGCTAGCACAGTGCCTGGCATGAGTGAGAGCTCAATTTCAGTAGCTGATACTTGTTGTGGGCACTAAATTTTCCCAGTAACTATCCTGGTCGTGAACAATTTCCAGTATGGAATTG